ACAACTACAGGTGAAGATACCTTCAAGAAAATCAAGAAAACGCTAACACATCCATTGCAAATTGTATTCCATCACATCCGACACATTTTAGTGTGATGGTTTAACAATGTGTGTTTTTTCGGCGGGCTGATCAATGTGCGCAGTAAAACCGTGAGTGTTGCCATTCGGAAAATTTTGAAATGTTTTCACTGAAACTATAACCGTGTGAGATCTATTGTTTTAAATATTCATAATCTCCAGCGCATACTTTCAAATTACAATATCTGAAATTTCATTTAGAACGGATAGCTCGATAGGATATCTCTATCTCGAAAGTGGTGTTTTTTTTTTTTTATTTTTTTAAATGACCGCTTTTTGTATATATGTAATATGATAACTTGTAAGCTGCAACGGACCGATATGATGTGATATGAGAGGAGCAGCCCGACCTTCCTGGCAGACTTTACGTCACCTTATGGCCTTTTTGCGGGCTGCGCCAAAGCAAGCCAGAAACTACAACAGCTTCAACAAAACATAAGATATGAAGATAGTTAATAAAAGGAAACGGTACTTTTCCGTTTTGCCGGCGCAAACGATAAAGTCGCCAATAATGGTTTAACTGATGCCAGACGGAATATCTTCGCTGGTAACCTTTTACGCCTCAGTTTCAAAACAGGTTGAAGCCATTTCTTATCAGATTGTTTCTTTCAATACTGGCATACAATAATATAGAATTTTTACACGATATTTAAATTTTATCCCCTAAGACAATTCACGGTAATTAAGTCAATTAGAACGCAATTACACCGCTCATCCGAAGGCGAAATCAAGCGTTAAATTCATCAATTCTAATGAGAATGCACTAGTCAAGTCAAGCACTGCGGTTTTACATAATTTCTGAGTAAGCTATTCGTACGAATTGAAATAATTCTTGCATTTAAACTTGTATTCCAAATTAAGATTTAACTTGAAATTAATGTAGATAATTACTGAGCGAATTAGATTTTAGTAGCGTAGTTTACGTGAGATGAGATCACTTGGGGGTCACGTGATACGAACCGGCGAATCAGGATTTGAACCATGAAAATCATAGTAAATTCTTAAATTAATGTCTTTTTTACAAATTTATTGTCTTTATTTATTGGATTTTTACAAAATTTTAAACCATATTAAAATGTTTATGCCTTCAAAATAAAAAAAAATTCTTAGAATTAACATTTTTTATGTGTATACTGTATGTTGTCGCCAACAAAGTCTGCTTGGCGAGATTTGCGCCGGCGAAACGGAAAAGTACCAAGGAAGGTAACCAAACAAAATAATGCAAATACATTCGGCAATATATACTATAATAATCTTTTCTTATTTTCCGAATTAACAGCGCAGCAGGAAAGAGAAGAGAAAATAAAAAGAACCAAGGCTAAAAATAACGAAGATAAATTATAAACCAACTCAAGAAAAGAAAAGTTACGTAAAACTACCACCATGCAACATACACTGACATACATACGCAAAAGAAAAAAATTAATTAAAATCCCCACTGCAAGCTTATCATGATTAATCTCCATTATTTTCCTGGCAAATTTTTTCAGTCTTTTAAAATCATTTAAAACATCATATATATATTAAACACACCATTTTTCTTGAACTCATCCTAATATCAGTAAAATATTTACATTTTTATACATAATGATCCGCAGTGCTCGGTTCTTTACAGATATCACAGAGATCAGGCTCTTGTAATTTAAACCTTTTAAAATAGAGAGGAAAACGGCCATGACCTGTTATGATTTGATTAACGTGGATGTCTGAAAAAAATAAACCTTTTCTAAGTTTAACAAATTTCATGTAACCTTTATTTTTATCAGACCTTTCCCACTTTTCTCTCCATTCACCATAAATAGGATTTTTCATAATAGTCACAGCTTTCCTTGTTGATCCCCGTACATTAATATCACGCGCATTAACATCGGTAGTTGCCTCCTTGGCCAGTGCGTCCGTCCTCTCATTTCCAAAATGTCCAACGTGTGCCTTCACCCAATAAATGTTGTCATTGCTCGCTTTGAAATCCTTGAGTTTGTTAATCAAAAATTCGTAAAGTTTTAGAAAATATGAAATCGATAATAAGATAAAACAAATTCCAAATTTCAAATTTGGTCTTCCACATGCCCATATTCGTAGGAGGATTACGTCATTCAAAATTCGATAGCTCTATGTACCGTTGTTTGCGAGAAATATGCATACATTTATGCAGATATTTCATTATTTAATTTCTTCAAATATATTGCAGGACTCTAACATTTGGTGACAACAGTTTGAAAAGTGAAACGGACGGTCTAAAAAAAAATATACAATCTGAAATTCTGTTTTGCATTCCTTTTACACATAGTTATAAAAACTAAAACTGCGAAGAGTCACTGTCGGCCCACCGTACCGTATTTAATGCCCTGAAATAGAACCTTTCAAATGACATTTTAAAGGCGCATAAATGATGTCCGAATGTCATGAAAATTAATTGAATGGAATGTTTTAAATGTTCGATGCTTATGCGCCCTCAGAATTTAGAAATGTTTCACACAGTCCAAGCGGCTGAAAAATTGTACATAAATATGACAGCAGGATGTAATAGGCAAGTAAATTTAAATTCATAAGTTTTTGCTTGATTATTGTTTGGAAATAATGTAAATATGCAAATATAATCATTATTACCAATTTTGCATTCTAACTTACTTTTAAATTTCATTGAAATTTTAAACATGATAATTTTATCTTTATATTATGAAAACTAAAGTTTAATTAATATATTAATTCAGCTGAATTTTATGTATACATAAAAATCATAATATTTCACCAAAAATTACATTTTATAATAATTATTTTTCCATGTTAGCATCAACTGCAACAACGCGCTCGGACGGGAGCGAAGAGGTTGACTGTGATGAAGACGATGAATATGGGCGACGACTTGCAAGATGTAGCAGACGAACGCAGACAGCAATTCCAGCAGCACTGAGTGATGTGAGATCTAGAAAGTAGCAGTGGACAATAAACAAGAATGAGCAAGATTCACCTTACAAAGAAGTACACAGAAGAAGAAGAAATGAAGACACCTTCTTAGACACTGTAATGTTAATATTACTTTTCTTACGAATTTTGTATGTGTAACGTGTATACAAGCCAGTTTCCCGTAGAAAGTCCTCCACGAAGGCATCCCTCCCTTTAGGCAGATAGCCCTCGTGTGCTTTGCCATGATTGAATAATCCGGTCCAATTTTACGAATTTTGTACTTAGATAAGTAAAATTGTTATATTTTTCTGTCTAATATAGTGCGAGACAAATTTTAAGAGAAAGGTATGTCATAAAAGTATGAGTACAGGGGTAAGTGCATTTAACACTGAGTAAATGGGTACCTCGGTAATGTGGCGAAATATCACCAAGCTGACAACGGTCGTGGTGACTTATATTGCCGCCAAATTTGGCGACATTTTGGTCCGGGCCTGTGTCACCGTAAAATGTACTGAAATTGAATAAATGTAATTGACCGATATGTTATCTGTAACCGTAATTCCACTCTCGTATTCCTTTCCAGTAATTTCGAGAATCAGAAAGTACTAGAAATATCTCGCGGCTGAGTAAAAACTATTTAAAGCCCAAGAGAGAGCATCTACTTCTCAGTTGCTTAGTTACTGTTGTTGAGAGTTGTTTAGTTCCGCGTAAACTGAGATATGCGAGTTAATTCCTTTTTAGATGCGCTTTGCATTGCGTTTTTGCATAATGTTGTATGTAATTGCATAACGTTCTTAGTAGTTTGAAGTGTAACTACTGATTATACTGTGTGATATTGAGTACATTTGTAGGAATATTTCTGTGAAAAATTCCAGAGTTCTGAAATATTCCTTTTGTTAAAAATATTTATTAACCCGTTATCGGACTTGTGCATTCAATCTATTACAATCCCGTGCAAACGTAACACTATGTATTTTTATTGGAATGTAGGTTTCTTTTAAGGAAATAATATTGTGATAGTTACCAGTAATTTCAAAGACTACTTTTAATTTGATATGTTCTTTCTATAATCAAGTGCTTTGGAACATATAATACTCGCATAATTTTCCCTTATTTTCGGAAAAATACACGAGGAAACATACGGTAATTTATATCATTAAAATTGTTTTGAGCTTTTTAAAATTGCTGACATAAGATTGTTTTTTAATGTGAAGTTGTGCTTAAGAATTCGAAAACATTCAACATCTCCAGGATATGGGCGATGAAGGATACGGTAATGAAAAGATTATGAGCGGAAGGAAATTAACTTCGAAATTCGTATTGAAATGTAAATCCTTTAATATTTTTATCCTGTGTTCTGCTTATATTTTAAATTTATTAACAAATGACGCACCAAAAGTCCATGGAGACCCAATTCTTTTTTTTTTTTTTTTTTTAAATCGATGTTTTAGACACTTCTTTTGCAGTTTATATTAAATTTAATATTGCGTCAGCCACTAGATTTGGGAAAATAAAATGCAAGCAGTTTCACATCGATGGTATCATGTGAGAGAAAATTATGATACACTGTATGAAGTTATAGATTATGGCAATCTCGGTAAATATCATATAGATCATGAAGAAAAACAAATTGCATTAAAATAACAGATTTTATATTTACATATTATTCGGTAATTTAATTATTTATTTATATCATAATGGATAAGATAAAGATAAATTATGAATATTAAACTTGTTTTGCAATCTATTGAAATGTAAAAACATTTTATTAGAATGCAAAATAGACTCAAACTACGAAATGTGTTTGAAATTAGAGTATAAAAATAAATAGCGAGGAAGAATCAAAATCTAAGCCTGCAGCTGAAATTCGATGAAGAATAAACCAATATAATTTCAATAAAAGCAAAATGAAAAATTACCATAAATGGTGTGGATGAGCTTAGACAACTCAAATCAAACTAATCTGTCTCATGGGTGAAATTCTGAACATCTAGAAAAATTCATGAACAAAAGCAATATTGTCGAAAAATTCACATAACTTTTTTAATTTAATTTGTTAACAAAACATACAACTGTAAAATAAGTCATTCAAACTATTTAGAAATATTTTATACTACAGCCGATAAATGTGCTCTTAGCATGTGATACATTTTCAAACAAGCCTTTTTAAATAAATATAAAATACTACGGCAAGTTCGATAATCCGGAATTTAATGGTTCGACACATCCGATAAATTTATAATACAGCCATTTAATGTTGGATTATCCACACTCACATACATATACCGGGAATACCTCTGAAGTATTATTTTAAATGTGATTTTTTTTGGCAAATAAATGGACCAAGCAGTGTAAACATTTATTAATACTTGTTTCATCGCATCACATATGATGTAGGATCACAGAAAAAATAAACTCATTGCAGTAATGTTGTGCAGAATAATGGATCCAATACTGTATTTTCTGGAACTTAACCACTGTAGGAATCACAAAAGTCTTTGACTAGGATAATCATAAGAGATCCTGCTGTAGCAGTATCATCATCATTGGATATCAATCATACTCGGATCCGATAGTGATACTCAGGTCATTTCCAATGATTAATGTTTTGTGGTACCAACGATTGGTATCCAGGACAACTGAAAGATAAAATAAAGATACAATACAATGCAATAAAGGAAACACTGTTTTATATTTTAGATATAGACAATTTACATTTGCACTGAGAACCTTCTCTAAGACAACCATCAACGATTCCAGATCAGTTTGGTCTCTACGGAGGTGATCGTCTTAGAAAAGCAATGTTCAGTACTGATATTTATTTATGTTACAGAAATAACGATCACTTTTAGAGATGTCTGAAAGAGGCACTCCATTATTTGTATAACAATTAAAACTTTAATCTGTTGGTATTTACGCATTATCGTAACCACCTTAGTATTAGAAATCTTCAAAGTTTCAGAATACACCAAACTGTAGTAAACAATATTATTCAGGCAATCAATGTGCATGACAAATATTCAGTTTCCAACTTTGTCATTTTCGTGTACGTTCTTTTTGTTGTGTTCCAAATTCCAACAGCTTTTGTAGAAAAAATAATGATTACCTTTTTTTTTTTTCTGTCTTTGATTTTAAAATTTATGCTTGTAGGATTTTCCTATAATAGAAGAAAGACTTCTGCAGGAATTGAATTATTTTGCCGAAAAATCGCTAAAGCTTCGAATTCTTTCTCAAAGCGATCGCTGCGAAATTTTCAACAACACAACAAAAACTAAAGCCCGTTTGTAACTAGGTTTGCTATTGTCTTTTTGAATAAATATATATTTGAAACATAGAATATTTACGCAATAATATGTATATATGTAATATAATTTTTTATAATAAAAGTAATTGATTTTTTTCTTTCCGTAAAATTCGCCAAACTGCGCCAAGGTGGTTGCGATAGTACGTAAGTACTAATCTATACTACATTAAAAAACGACAACACAAGTTTATTGTAGGTATTATATTTCTCCCTTTCATTTATTTTTCCAGCCAGTGAAATTACATGTATTTTCAGAATGTCTTAAAAAATATATATGTCAGCAAGAATAAGGCGTTATTAAAACTTACAAAACTATATAATAAGATATTAGAGCTCTATTGCCTATTAAAGATAATTTTATTAGCATGGACTGCTTGTAAAATACACTTTTAATTTGCTGATAATTAGGCCTATGAAACCTAATATTTCCCCTCGATTCAGCAGGAGTTACAAAAGTTGTGTAAATGAAACCAAGAATATATTAAGCTCGACACCTCCAAAAGGATTATGACTTTTATGCTGTCAGCTAATTTTCGTTAAGCTCAAACATGTTATCACTGTTGCTAAGAAATCAAATTAAAAGCCTTTAACATTTTTAAGTAATTGCAGTGTTTAATTAACAGAAGTCAATTTAACTGGTAAGACAAATTAAAAAAAAATTTTAATCTTCTATGAACGAATAGGGAATCTGTTTTATCATAAACAGCTTTTATTGAATTTATTTCATAATTTAAAATTTAGCTCTTAATTTTTTCCAGAACTGTAAGAAAATTAAATTTCAAGAATTACTAAAAGATTCGTGAATTATTAAAGTAAATACAGGAATTACTTTAAAAAAATTAATAATAGAATCCTAACTTTCTTCCATTCTTAATCATTTAGTTGATAATAATTAACAAAAGAGTTAAGGAATAAAATATTAGTAAATAGACAGATCTCGGCATCTCGCGTTTTATGGAAAAAGTGATGGTAAAATTATTTGAAGGACACTTACTGACTTCTCCTGGTCTGACTTCCGTCTCTATTGTTCTGCACTCATTGTAACATTCTGGAACGGGCTCAAGAGTCCATAACTTGGTACCTTTAATCTGAGCTTGCCATGAAGGATTATTAACGTGATCAATCTGCAACGTAAAACTCATTACTGTATCATTTTTAATATTGTTTTTAAATATCAGTGAGATCATCATCTTATATTATTACCATTATAATTATAATTATTATCACTAGATATATTTTTGTAAGTGTTGCATGTAGAATAGCACAACAATATGCCGATGAAAAAATGTGGCAGCTTTCTCGTAAAAATCAGCGATTTTACATTAAAGAATGCAGTGAAAATACAGTCGAACTTGAGTGAAACGTACATTTAGAGAAAGAAATTATGTCTATAAGACCAAACAGTGTGTATCGATTTCGATTGGAATCAAAGAAAATAGTAATTATATCTCTAAAAAGCCTATGTATCCTTATATTCCATACTCTCAGTAAAGGCTTCGTATCTCTTTCCAAGTGACCTCCGGGTCTCGGAGAGATTAGCAGAGGGTTTTTGCCAGATTTGACGGGGTCTCGGAAGTAACAGCCAATCGTACAGCTTCAGAGTTTTCATTTTCATCTTGGCATTATCATCATAAGTGTCAACTTCTAGGGATTCAAACGGGTTATTTGTTGAAGTTTTAGGAACAAGTAGCCTGGACTGAAGTCTCTTGGCAAATTTTGTGAGAGTAATCCAATCTTTGTCTAAGATAGTTTGCCGTTGAGCAGTTTTAGAGTAATTTTTGCTAGTGATAGGCAATTTAACCTATTTCTTCAATATACCCCATTTCTTGAATTTTTTATTTTACTTCACGGATTTGGGAAGGATCAGCTTCCAGTGCCGTCTTCTTGAAACTATTTGGTTTGTTAGGATCTCTAAAATCATTATAGCGTCAATAACTTCAGCTTGTATAAACTTTAGAAAGTCCATTCCTAGCTTTCGTAGTATTGCAGTGACAGGGTTTCCAGTACACTTCTTTTATTGTGAGTCCTATCCTTACGCAAAGATAAGGTTTTAGCATTTCTTTCAGCTTCATTATCATCTTCACCATAACCCATATGATTAAGAACATTTTTCGCATGGGCGATATTAATAGGAAAGAGAATAGCATTCTTAATCCAGAAAAGAGAACATGTGAAAACACGATCCATAAACTTCACAAATAACATTGGCAGTATGCTCAGCAAATCTAAAAACACACTAAGCAATTTAATGCAGGCGATCGTATTTGAAACGGGAGCAAGACAGTGCATTCACCGTCGACGCCCTCTCCAAGCTGTCTTTTTATTTATTCAATCAATCAATACATGTATTGCCGGGCTATCGCTAATATGTGCGATTTTGCCGGCTCAGTGATAAATTTGCCATATAGGCACATGACATAACAGTCAGACGGAGTAAGAGAAGGTCTGAGGTGAAGATTTATTTACTTTTATTTCCACAAAAATTTATCTCATACGGAATTAAAAACCGTAGTAGTTATTAGAGAAATCTTTGTGTTGTGAATATTTTTTCCAAGTGTGTTGGATATTGCATTCTGTTTTGTATAATTTATTAGGAGTGAAGTTAAAAAAAAAGTTCTGATACATGCGCATTAATTTCTGTGAAGAAACTCGAACAGCGCAGACGTTTTAAAAATTAAGAAATTTTGTTTAGTATTGTTGCAATGGCGTTTACGCACCTGAACCTAACAGCTTGTGAAAATTGTTTGGGAAAAGTAGTATTGCCATCTAGTAACCTTTTTCACAACTAATACGGGCTATACGAAAAAGGTCTTGAAGAAATTAGTGCTGCCATCTAGTGACTCTTTTCAGAACCATATGCAGTGAGCAAGATATAAAAATGCAATTTTAAGAGAATAGTGCTACCATGTAACAGCACAGTTTGTATGTAAGCAAAGTGAAATGAATATTCTAGTTTTAAGCACATTATTTAAACATAAACAATCCAATTTTTGTGTATTTCGTAAAGTTATATCCATTTTGGTATTCAGACAAACAGAACGTTAAACACTAAGTGCTGTGTTTTTTGGTATGGGTTTTATTTTGCTTCCATTAAGAATGGCAGCATTGATTTTTAAATCTAAGTGTGCTTCAAGAAAAAAGTGTTCTTTAAAAATGCATAAACTGCAACGAAACAGAATTAATTTTAAGTTTTAATTTAATTCAGCAAATATAAACTATTTCAGAAATATGTATATTTATATACATTTTCGAGTTTAAAGACAGCACCAGGTTTTGTTATTCGATTACAGAAAACCACGGGATAACTGCTTAAGAGGAGGAATGATTTCATGGAGGGCTTTCTAAGAGGAACTGGCTCTTATCGACGTTACACCAAGAAAACGTTTATGCAGCCAGCCCGTTCGCATGGAATTGAACCCGAGACGGACACCCAGTATGTAGCGACATTATCGCTCGGCCATTCAATGCCCAAGAAGGAACTCTTCGCAAATGAATACAGTTAAGATGGACAATTAATTATGGGAAAATAAGACTGAGAAACTTAAATAGAAAGTATTTCAAAGACCAACTATTTTGTATATTTATGTTGCAATTAAAGAAGACCGAAAAAATATCGTCTGAGCCACTATTTCTCCTGTGAAACGAATTTAGCACTACTGAAATTAAATCATTTCATTCTTATAGGTTGCTCTAGTTATATCAACCCCATATCTTAATTCATTTACATTTAAAAATGCTCATAAAATTTTATCGTAAAAATAGAAGTAGCCTTTGTTTTAAGTAAACTTATAAATAATATAAATTAAAATTTGTTATTTACAGTACAATACAGCTTCACCATTTATGCATTAAACCAACGGCTGTCATATTTTTGTGTAAGAACATAAAAATGTGTAATTTAAAATCTGTGGAAAAATTCGACGTTAAATGAAAATTACTTAGGTATTGGAATTCAGCATTAAAAGTTCCGTTTCATCAGGGAACGTTTAATAAGGAGGGCGTTTGGGGACGTTGGTGAGGGGGAGGACGTTTAATTTCCTTTCTCAATATTGTCTAAAGGATTTAATATAATTATTAATTGTTCATGTAGGAGTACTATTATATAATTTATACTTGATTAGTTACAACATTTTATTACACAAGAATAGAAGGTACTTTTCCGTTTTGCCGGCGCAAGCGATAAAGTCGCCAATAATGGTACAACCGATGCCAAACGGAATATTCTCGCTGGTAACCTTTTACGCCTCATTCAGATAGTTCAGTTTTATGTCTAAGGCCATTTTCGGCAATTAAATCAATTAGGATGCAATCAGAGCGCTTACCCGGAGCCGAAAATATAGAAAAGGTAAAGTCAAGGGTTAAATTCATCAATTCTAATGAAAATGCATTTAGCGAAGTAAAGCACTGCAGTTTTACATAATTTCTGAGTAAGTTATTCGTACGAATTGAAGTATTTCTTGCATTTAAACTTGTGTTCCAAATTAAGATTTAACTTGAAATTAATGTAGATAATTACTGAGAGCATTATATTTTTGTAGAGTAGTATACGTGAGATGAGATCGCTTGGGGTCACGTGATATGAACCGGCGAAACAGGATGTTGAACCATGAAAGCATAGTAAATTCTTAAATTGATGTCTTTTTATACATTTATTGTCTTTATTTATTGGCTTTTTATAAAATTTTAAGAGATATTAAAATGTTTATGCCTTCAAAAAAAAAAGAATTCTTAGGACTAACATTTTTTAAATATTTTTTGTGTGTATAATGTATGTTGTCGCCAATAAAGTCTGCTTGGCGAGATTTGCGCCGGCGAAAGGGAAAAGTACCGAATAGGTATAGTAAATTGCAGTTCAATAAATTGCAGTTCCTTAAATTCTCAGTTAATATTCCTGAAAATGCAAAAACATACTGGTTTCGCATTACTTACAGAAAATAAATAAAAAACTGGTATCTTTAGGAAATATTAAGATTACCGTAAAAAATGTTTTATTAACAATTGACATTGTAACAGACGATTTTTTTTCCAGCCTATGAACACACTGAAGATAAAAGTGAAATATGCTGAAGTTCTAAGACAGGAGCAGATATCCCTAAAAGGGGAAACAAAATATAGCGAACAGTTTCTAAGAAGATTCCAAGCGGTTTTGTCTTACGTAATATGGTCATCTTAGAGAAAAGTTCGATAGAGATTTTATATAAAAGCTATGCAAAAATAAGTTCCCTTCTCCCTCTATTTTACGGCCAACCAGCGGCCGAGCGGTAAAATCGCTGAACACTGGTAGTTCGGTCCAAGTTTCGAATTCCGCGAACGGGCTGGCTGCATGGCCGTTTTCGTGGTTTTACCCATGTGTGTATACGAGCCAGTTTCCCTTAGAAAGTCCTCCACTAAGGCATCCCTCCCTTTAGACAAATAGCCCTCGAGGCTTTGCTATAATCACATACACACCCTCTATTTTACATTTCATACTAGCTTTGTCTGTTCCATATTCTTTGAATTTTCTCAAACCTCTACGCATGGTTCTAGTCAGATTTTAGACTTCCATGGAGACAATCGCCTTAGAGAGATAAAATTCACTACTGATGTCTTTTTATGTTTTATGAAAAACAGAGGCAGGTGGACTATATTATCGGATTCGTCATAAATATACGCTTATACAATACTTACGTGCATATGCGCGCCATAGCCTGGTGTGCCCATAAATATCCAATCAATATTCGTACTTTCTGACTGCAGAGGAAGAAAATAAGGTCTACGATAATGTTTCCTCAGTATGCTTCCGATTTTGCTATCACAGTTACTCCTGTGAAAAAGAAACAGATAAATGTTTTTTTAATTCCAAAATAAATAGTATAGTTATATGAAAATAATAATTTGGTAGTGAAAGAAATATGTTGTGACCTATTTGCAAAGACAGCGTTGGTAATTCAAGCTCTCAACAAAATTAAAGTTGGTAATTCAAGCTCTCAACTTCTAAATTCACAGTTTAAGATATTATTCTAACTTTTAACAATTACTTTTAGTTTTTAATATTATGATTTTTGACTATCATTTACATTTTATCATTAATTTCAGACGGGAATGATATCACAAGATTTTTTATTCTAATTTTTTATAGACAATTTTACTTTTCAAAATTCTGTAGCATACTGTAACATCATGAATGTGAGAAGACATTCTTACTTCCATGATAAACATTAACTGAGATACAAAAAACGATTCTGCAAAAGAACAAACGAGAGAAAGGAAAATGTATATTGATGGTGCTGCCATCTATCCGTTGTTCTCAACATAATTTAATACGACTTTCCCAAGAGATAAATTTTATTTAAAATATTCATATGTGCATCCCTAAATATTATTACAAAATAATAATAATAAATATGTTATGGTGTTTATTTTGCGATATAGTCCATTTTTATTTAGGGAAAATATTGCAGTTTAGAATAAATGGCCTCCCCCCCGTGAGTAAGTAAGCAGCATTGTTTGCCCAAAAAATTACTCTTAAGTAAAATACTAATATTTCAGCAAAATCAGTTAAACCTAGTTAAATCACTGATTTAACTACTGTTAACAAAACACTGATTTTTTCTATTAATTTTTTCATAATTTTTCGTTAGTTGCATTAACTGTAAAATGCATCGAGCATTGATTTAAAACATTGATAACATATTTAGCATTCCTCGCAACATAAAAAACTGGTAAATTAATGGGAAAAAAATAATGTAATTATTATGCATCAATAATTTTAAAAGAATTCATTACATTCAATAATTTTAAAATCACATAATTTTAAAAGAATTCATTACATTCAGAAAACGAATAAATTGTTCTGAATGATTATTAGCATATATTCAAATGTTCTTTACAAAACTTACAAAAGTAAAAATATTTAGAATTTGGTTCATTTCTGACCAAACACTGATTAAAGTAATTTCTTAATTTATATTACTTAAATTTATGATATTAAATATGATTAAAGGAAATTACTGCTTGTTATCATTGAAAGAATTCTCTCAATGATTATCTGATTACAGCAAAACACCAGTAAGGCTATGTGGATAAATTACAGGGTATCTTCTTAGACGACTTTCTAAAGGAATCTCGCGCGCATTGAAGTTACGCACGAAAGAAAACCACAAAACCCTCTTCATAGCCAACCCGTTCATTAAAGATCTGAACCCGGGTTGAACTACCAATGTTTTAATCCACTTTTACTTGTAAACTGCCATGTCCTCATTCTGTCAAAGGAAAAACGTTTCCATACAGTATTAGAGGAGGAAACGATACTATAAACAAATTGCTGACATTACGTACGTTGAAAAAAAGTCATTCGTAAAAACTTTAAAAAATGTGCTTATTAAGGTCATTTACAACTTAAACCAGCATCAAAATGCGCGTTGATTTCGCTTTTGAGGAGCACTCTGCATGCTGCTTTTACATTTCTTTCAAACTATTTGGTAAAGGATTTTATTTTATTTTTTTGCAGCAGAAGAAAATTCTGCACTGATGTTTAAAACAGCCAAGAATATATTAACAGTTTTATTTCATGATATTTTTCCCAAAAACTTTAATCGCGAAAACTATAACTCTACCTTCATCGGTACATGATGCTCAGTTCAACCATCACTTGATGAGTCTCAACTAGTGTTGGACCATCTGCTCCGGAACTGATTCAAAGAATAGATTTCACTTTACTGAGTGAAATTTGCTTCAATTCGAGAAAATGGAGTTGCAGCTATTTTACAGTTCACGAAGTATTCTTGTTGGATGAGTACCGGAAATAGAAATTTGCTATTCGTTCACAAACTGATTCACTTTACTGAGCAAGCTTACGCCTGATTGGCGAAAAATGGATAGAACTCTTGTTAGAGTGTCCCAGAAATGTTCGAATTCCGTTTTAGAGGAGAAAAGAATATTTATTCAAAAGAATATTATTTCAAATGTGAATTTAATTTTATAATTTTCCAACATTAAAAAAAAATGTTGTAGAGGTTTTTGTTAGTTTTGTGTAAAAAGAAGGTTTATAGGGACTCTGAAACTATAGCTTAAAGAAATCAGTTGAAGAAGTTAGCGTTTCATTGAGTCAATTCTTCCAGTCACACTTCGTTCGCTTTTTATCGCTCTTCGTTCCAACCTCGCTAATCGATCTCGATCCTACTGCTTATTCGATTCTTTGCGCTCTTCATTCCATCATCACTAACCGCTCTTGATTCACTCGTTGTTCCGGCTCTTTTTCATCAAAGTTATTGTTAGTGAGTGGTGAGTCGTAAAAAAAGAATTAATTTCTATCAGTGAGTGAACCATCCTGATCCCATAAAAGAGAGGTTTTGCCCATTTCAACCAGTTCCACTCTAACGCCAATAAAGTCATATTCAGCTTTGCTGTAGAAGAAGACTAGTTTTATATCAATTACGGTTTACCGTCGCATGCAATATCAAATAATGATTAAATTATTATTTATGATTTTATGTTAAATTAATACTTTGTATTAATTTTAAAATGAAAAAATTTGTATTAACATGATTTAATTAAGTAAAAGTTATATATTTTTGGATATATGGAACGTAAATATTCATTCATTTCATTATATAATGGCTTCGTTTTGCCTTGATTTGATTTATGTAGGTACTACAGGAACGCTAAACTAACATAACATTTACTTACGTTTTTATGCCAGGCAAAAATTGAGTACATGACTATTGTTTATCAAAACATTTCTCAGTCATAAATAGGAAGACCTGAGCAAAATACGTATTAATTGCATATGTGAGGAAGAAAATTTTAGCATTTCGGCTGTTCTGGTTTACTTTAACAAAGAATATACAGTTAAAAAGAATAAAATAAAGTGATCCTCACTCATTATTTCTGATTATTTGAGTCTACATATGAGATGGTCTTCCGAGAAAGATAATGTTCAATACCTATATTTATTTATGTTCTCAGCAATGAAAGTCACCTTTGGTGGTAGTCCTTTTCGTCAAAAGATCACTACGAAAGTGTTCATTGTATTTTTATTTTCTTTAACCAAAGTGAAAAACACACTTATTTAGACAAAACTGAATCATGGAATTATTTTTATTAGTCTACATTAGTTCTTATTAGTCAGTCTAGATGAAAAATAAGACAGTGAAATTAACTTTTACTTACATAGACCCTGAAACTAAACTCAAAATTAATTTTTCTCCAACAGAAAAATGATAGAGATATGATATGTATTTGGTCATATGATATTTGGTCTATTTTTTTAATTATTTCTATTTTTTATTTTCTATAACTAGTGCTTATTATAGTGAAATATTAATAATTGCAAAGGAAAAACGGATTGCGTGCTCATTTTCCAAATCTTACAAGCTATGCATTTACCAACTAATATGTGATAGCATGTTAATAATTTATTGTGATGATAGAATATTGAATTAAATTAGAGAGATATGCATGATTTCTTATATGTATAATTTATTAATCTTATGGTGTAATAATTTATATGTATTACACCGAAAGCTCCTTGTGAAGATAGTCATCATAGAAAATGTCCTGTTTAATACGATTATTTGACTATTTTCTTAGACGAACTGGTCGTAGTCTTAGGAGGTCAACCAGCAGCCGAACAGTAAAGTCGCTGAACACCGGTAGTTCTGTCCGAGGTTCGAATTACACGAACGGGCTGGCTGCATGGACGTTTTCGTAGTTTTCCTCATGTGTAACGTGTATACGAGCCAGTTTCCTTCAGAAAATCCTCCACGAAAGCATTCCTCCCTTTAGGCAGATAGCCCTAGTGTGCTTTGTTATAATTAAATAAACTAAAGCAAACTATATTCTTAGGAATGAGAGATTTTACTGGATTTCTTATTGCAAACCAATAAATACACAAACATCTGAACTAATTTTATAAGCAATAAATATGTCATAAGTATTCATTTCAATTATGTTGATAACTAATTAAAATTATATACATTCTGTTGTTTCATGTTTTTACATTATTTAAATCAGTAATGATCAGTTTCTGGATATATAAGGCCAGCTTAAGATGAGTGTTGTCTCTGCAGCCCACACAATATATTTCCGCTTACAAATATTTAGAATTAAAGCTTGAAAAGATATTTATTACACACATATTATTTATACGTATAAAAACCGACTCTCTCTACGTAAAACTACCCGGCAATTTTTTTTTTTTTTTTTTTTTTTTTTTTTTCCCGGCAGGGAAAGAAACAAAAATGAAATGGCATTATCAGAAATCGTCGGTAAACATTAAATTGCCAACCATAGGGTAACCTTAAATACAGTGAAACTTCACATAGCAACCAATTCCTATGATAACTGTCTCTAAAAATGAACGATATTTCTGAGGACATAAAAACATTAAAAAAAAAAAAAAAAAAAATCTGAAAGGTTTCAGATTTTAAATTACGTCGAAAGGGGCGTTTTTTAAACATTTTGTCTGTTACCTTTATTTATTAAATATCACGTTCACGAATTTTATTGTTTTTAAACAATAAAATTCAGTTCAACAGCAATTTCGTAAAACAGTTTTAAATTGAGCCTATCTTTAGAATTTCCGATACAGAGTCTCGTGCGCTGGAGATAAAAACGTTTATTTCTGTACAATGTTGCCACTGCTCGCTTTAAAATCGTTGAGTTTGTTAATCAAAAATTCGTTAAAGTTTTACAAAATATGACATCGATAATAAAACAAATTCCAAATTTCAAATTTGGGCTTCCACATGCCCATATTCGCAGGAGGATTACGTCATTCAAAATTCGATGGCTCTATGTACCGTTGTTTTATCACAATGCGAG